AACGCCTCAACCCCCCCATATACACCTCTCGTTTCCCGCTCCGGGGGCAGCTCGCAGCGGCGCAGGGGGAGGGGGTTTGGAACTCGCGCGTGTTGCCGGGTAATTGATTTCTTTGATAGCGGCCGCACGAAAGGAACATTGTAGATGCTTCGGGAAGGCTGCTGGGCAAGGAGGGGATGCCAGAGCCGTGGTACCGTTCGCGATCTACCATCCCCTGGATCAATGGATATCNTATATATATAAATTGCAATCATTGGTTAGTTATAACGTCTTAAAGAAGAAATTAAAAAAACATTGCAAAAGATTAATGCGGAGACTGTTAATATGTTCGCGTTATAGATATCTTGATATATTAATTCGAATAAAATTGAAAAGAAATTTAAAAAATGAAAAGGAATAAAAATTTCATCGACTTGCTTTCGTCTGGAAAATCCGAAAATCAACAAATATTCTTCGTGAATCATCATCGTCCGTTGAACCAAGTCGAACCGAGCGGTTACGAGAGACCGCCGAAGACGAGATAGTTTGCGGTCTGAAGATGGAAAGGGTTGGTTGGCTTAGTTCGTGGAGCAGCGAGTTGGTGGTGCTGACGGCATGTATCGATTGTTCAGCGATATAATGCCAGCCACGCACATATGAGACCGCGGCCGCGCAAACCCCCGCGCCGCGCAGGGGATGAATTCGTGTGTCGAACAGCGCCGCGCCGCGTCGCGTCTTTTCCAGCGTGTTTTATTCCACCCTGTGCCCCACCAGTTGATACGTCCCGATCTGGCGAGGGATAGGTAAGTTCAGGCGGCGCCGCCGTTTTTCGCTGCCGCTTTCACCCCTTGCTGTCGCCCCTCGCGCGAAAAAAAAAAGAGGGGTGGAGAAAGAATAGGAGGAGGCCCGTTTTGGCCGCGTTTGCCTTTCCACGCGTGCCTTTCCGCGATTCTTTTGTTTTTCGGTGGTAAATTGGCGGCGTGCCTATGGATATTTTACTATTTCGAAGAAGGGCGAGTTTGCGCCCTTAGGATTTGGAAATCGTCGATGGAAGTTTGAAGACGTACGTACGTGTTTGGATAAAACACGCGAGGATTTGGGAGTTTGATCCGGAAAGTCGATTGGAATTGAATATTTTGTTGAGTTGAGAGAATTTTATTGATGAATGTTGATATTTGAAAATGTTGTTTGGATAATTACTTGCTCGAGTTTTTAGAACATTTTGAAAACAGAAGAAGTCATTTTGAAGAGAGAAAAGGGGGAATATATAAATAATTGTCAATAATTGTAATTAAAGGATAAAAGATAAATATTCTCAAAACTTGAAATAATTAGAAATATATAATCGATTCGCATGAAAATGGAAACCCCATTTACCTCGATATTCCCAAAAATTTAAATCCTACTAAAAAAAATGCTTAAAAACTAGAATAATTTTAATTCGTCTTTCAAATGTTTCAATAAATAATTTTCAAAGATTAAAAAAGAAAAAAAGAAAAAAATAGAAAAGAAAAAATAAATAAAAAAAAGAAAAAAAAAAGCGAATATCAAACTTTCGCGTTTGTAAATTTGAAAAATCGATGACCGAAGTGATGGCGAAAACGCAACGATCGAACAGTCGTAGAAGCTACTTTAGATCGAACGGTGGAGTGAGCCGTCGAGCAGCCATCAGGCTGTGGAAGGTCCAGCTTGTCGAGGGAGTCCGTGCTCGAAGGAGGTCGACAAGCGAGTAGCGTCGGCGCTGCCCTTGCAAGCTTCCTCGTGTATTGATCCTCATAATTCGGGGGGTTGGAGGGTGTCGGCGGGGTGGGTGGTTGGGAGGGAGGGTTGAAGAGGGTTGAGAGACGGCTGGCGGGGCTGAGCCCCACCTCGACGGCCGAGAAACGTATGCGTTCGGGGGTGGCTGGAACGGCGGAAGAAAGGAAGGAGCAAGGAAAACCGGAGTAGGGTGACTCCGACCAATAATAATCCGGCCGTGTTATGATAATATCATATCATAGCTCGGCTCATATCGAGCCATTTTATGATTGGAGGTTGGCATCGTCCAATGAACTCGCGCCACCAGCTTCGTTCATATTCATATGGTGAGGTCTTCCACTTGGGGGGTAAGTTGAACTCTTGGGGGTAACTTGAGAACCGGAGTTCTTTGAAATCTTATTGGTATGTTATATCATACTGGGA